GAACGTGGCACAGCGATCTCACTCCTTCAGTCTGATGTTTTCTCGTAGCTGTTGCCATTAGGCAAAATTTGTCAGTCGTGACGTATATATCATCTTAAGCTTAAGGTATGTGAGGTCAGATTTCATCCATTCAATTTGATGTGATATTTCACTGCCCCTTTGACTTTAATTACTGAAAGACTAATTTCTCTGGGTAGATACACGTCAGGTAGCAAGTGTCTATTTTCGCATAGGGCCAAGAACCTGTCGCAGTATTTACATCTTCGCCTGGAAATGTGCACTTCATCGGTTTGGCGTCCAGATATACTATTCAAGCTTGTCAGACTTCGCTTCCTTTTTATTTGCCTTGCAAGTTTGAATCCAACTTCTCACGAACTTCGCCCATTCGTCGGCATTTGCTTTAGCCACTATTTTACTGCCACTTCAAAACATTTTCAGTCGTAGGCTGTTTGATTCTAAGTCAGTTCTTAGCTGCAGCCTTTTTCTCTCTGGCCCCCAGTTTTACGTTAACGCCTGAACATCAGGCACCTGCCAATTGCTGTATATAACAGCGTTCAACAGTAACTCCAGGCAGCGCAGCCTTTAAAAACTCCAACTCGGTTTCTACACCTGTCATCGAGAACGGAATTCGTTCAGTTTTTGCAACGTTGTCAGTTCACTGTCTCTCACCCTTGCAAAAGATAAGATTTCCTTCTTATTCCCATGGTTCTTTCTGGTAAGAATCTGTTCTTTGTGTCCAATCTTGTATGGCGTAGGGTGTCAACGATACTATGTTGAACAGTTGACAGTTCTGCGCCTCTCTTAACGCCAACGTTAATAAGTGTGATTCGTAAGGCAGATAATGTGATGGTGAGACAGATTGATTTCTGTGCAGAAGAATCCATGTGCAAGGCTATGTACATTTCCATACTCGCTGCATTTCGATGTACATTTCTAAGTGAAAACCGGCTGTATGCTCAGAAGCTCAGTAACTTTACCCCATCTTTTGGACAAGTTCGCAGCGGCGTTTTTCTCGATCACGCGTTCCCACGTTTAGTAACTGTTATCAAGTCAAGCACAAAAGCTTAAGAGAAAGATTTTAGTTTCGGGCCTGTGTTGACGAGATTTTACAGGCAGTGCTGTACCGTGGAATCTTGTCTGATTTGCCATGTTAGCAACTGCACCGCCGTTTCGATTCACTTCAGATCGGGTACCCACGGCGCTAATGACTACCATTTCCGCTATGGCGGTTTCATTGTTCCCTGCTCGTTGCCATTCTGCTCCCTCCCCCACCCCGTCAGTGCCGCAGGGTATGAAGCAGGATTTTGTAGTCAACATTCTATAGGCTGCCATAGCTAGCAAATAGTCTGCTTATAATGAATTAGTTTGGGCGACGTCTGATTTCAGAAACTATTGCTGCTACGGCTTTGGACTGGCTACTATTTATCTGACGAGGAACTTAAGCCGTGAGATATGGCTTAGTAGGATGAGTTATCCGCCTATTAGCATAGTCCGGCGTATGAATCCATATTTTTGGATGCTTTGCAAAAGGCGTATCAGTTAACGAAACATCGTAGATAACATGCAAGGTATTGCTTCAGACAGTAGAATGATGTAAAATGCATCTTGCACTGCAAGTGCGCAGCTACAGTAGATAGAGTGGTGGTACGTGTACGTGGCCCAGGACATGGTCAGCTAGAAGCAGGAAATGGCTATATATTACCAAACCAAGTTCTGAAGGAGTTATAGACTGTAGCATATTTAGGCATAGGAATTCATGTTTCGGAATGTTTGCTAGTCATATAAACGAAACTATGAGCAATCATGAGGAAAGCTGAAATACTATGACATGCAAATTAACACCAAACAGCGACTTGAACACAAAACTAACCACAAACATTAAAAAGCAGTCAGATAGCCACTGACTTCGCCAACATGGAATTTTAGTTAGCGATTTACGTCGCTTTTGGTAATACAAATGGTAAAACGTGATCAAGTTGCAGGAAGAGTTAGGATGTGCTTCAACTACTGCTGACTTCGCCGTAATCCTCAAGTATCCGCAACTACCGGATTTTCTTGCAAACTGCACAGACATAACTGCATACCATGAACGAATTTTTCTATTTTGTCCTGAACCAATGTAAAGTTGATGTCGACACTTATCTGTTGTTTGAAGGTCTCCATCGAGTTCCTTAAAAAGAACGGCTGAAACAATAGATTCGCAAAGATCAGTTAAAGCTTTCGCACTTCAGATAGGCTTATTTTCAACCTCTTTTATACGAAGCAAGGAAGAGTATAACATTTACGGCTATCGCACTTAAAATAGCGATTAGAAAGTACCAAAATCTAATCATATCTATCAAAATTTTAAGTCAGTAAATTTAGCAGATCCTTTCGCATAACTAAAGAGCAATAAATATAATACCTGGAACAATATCCGCTTTCATGTTCAGCAACTTTCATTCTTTCAGGGACTGCTCTGATACATCTACCATAGCTGGAGAATCTACGTAGGTAGAGAACCGGGCCCTGAGTCAAAGATGGGTTTCAATCAAGGTCATTTATCGACCTTTCATCCTCCTAATGAAGTTATAAGACTCACCCTTCGCGGCAAGGAAACAAGGAAACTATACGAGATAGTGGCTAGATAGCTGTAGTTTCTGGCTTAAAAGTACGGCCCTTATAGTTGACGGCATCGAAGCGAATATCAGCACTGTGTAATATGTTACATAAGTGGTTCCCGATTCCTGGATGTCAGCTCCAATGCGGGTAGCATGGATGTTGCCCAACGTCGCGCGATAACTGATGCCAGAGCTTGGTCAGCATTGTGTTGCTGTAACTGAACAGTGTAGAAGTGTCCCAATAGTATCTTAGAATTGCTGACAAGCGAACGATCAACATGACCTGAAGAACATTGGAGAAATTGAATTCTGCTTATGGAGTGAATACCGCTGGCAGAGACAGATGGAGATATTTAGCCTTTTATTTTTCGTTCTTGAACCTAAAATTCGAACAATAGTGCTTAACAGAATTGAGCACAGGCTGTCTTCAACAACCATCCTCTGTAAAAATGAATCGCATTAAAACCTTGTAGATCATTAATTAAATTAGCGGAAAAAACTACATACCAACATGATAAAAAATTTCGCCTGGTCAAAAAAAGGAACACTTGAAATTCCGCTAGCCTGAGGTTTGTAAATTTTCATCAGTGTAAACAGTAAATTGGGATGCATTCTGTCTTCTGTGTCACTCACTACATTGCTGCATTGCATTATTCGGGCAGATCTCTGACATTAGAACACTGCCCACTGCAAAATCAAAGAACAACGCGAAAAGACATCTGGGGATTGAGCAGCACGACTGAGGAAGGACACGTCCCTGATAGTCAGACTGCATCTATATCATCAAAGACAGACACCAGCTGAACAGGCACGCCAAGGAGGCATTTATCATCCAGTCCTGCGACAACTTGAGCCGTCATAAAAGCGACGAACTCTGCGCGGATTGTCGTTCCTGTCGTCAGGAAACCTTTACCGCCAATGCAAAGCACAGACTGAAACCTTCCTGCTGACAAAAAACGTACTGCTGCTGCGAACGACAAAAAGTCTACCGAGGTAACCCCTTTCCAAAAGCAGACCAGTGAAACACGGGTCGTAAAGTCGGAACTGGAAGTGTTGTGTGCTGCTTTCAGTCTAAGAAGACATTAGCTTCTATCCTCCAATCCCAACAGCCGAGAAGCAAAAAAGCACAGAACTGGCTGAAGTAATGTGAATGTAGAGATGCCATCCTAGCTCATGGAAAGGCATGAATAACAAAAGATGAATCTTAACGCCTTGCTTCTGACCGGGAGTCCAGAATTGTTTCAAACCCAGTTTTCTACACGTCTTGTTGAAAGCAGAGCATTATTTTTACTAGGTAAGAGATTTTCACCGTGTGAATTATTAGTGGCATTAAGTTAACGTTAAATTTTACGGTTCATAATCACCAATGTCTAGCAATTCATAACGTAGAAGTTATCACTAATGTATAGCAATTCGTAACGTAGTGTTAAAATGTTGACTTAGCGATGAAATTGGACGTACGTAACGTTACTTCCAACTTAAAATTAGAGGTGAGTTCATCTGTGCTGTTAAGTTTATGTATAGATATAAAAGTACACAGCAACACATTACTTACAATGTTTCTTGGCTCAGGAATGCTCTAACCGAGTTCTGAAAGGCGCAGTAGTCCAGATAAAGCTGAAAGTATATTTTAGACTTAACAGCGGCACTTTGAGCGAAAGCAAAGAGAACCTGTGTCAGCTGGTCATGGTTACAGTTGGTATCCATGAATGATTTACACTCCTTCGTCAGCTGATCACAGTAGTTCTTCACTACGTAACATATAACCTGGGAGTAGAGGACTGGTGCGTTAAGAAACAGTTCCGCCTGAACGCCGACGATGCAAAGTACCATGTCCTTGATGTAGCTGCTCACCCCTAGTAAAAAGGATCATCCTTCACATCGATTGAAATATCGGCTACGAATGAGCACCTTTAACCTCTGCAGTGGTCGACTTCACTCCCTGAACAATCTCTGACAGTGAGGCGCATTTTGCCGCTATATAGAACTTTAGTATGCGACTTCGTATACCGGCGTATGAAACTATGCAACACTAAAAAATATTTAAACTCAGCATATTTTAGGATGCCCCAGAACGATATAAAATCTTTTTCTTCAAATATCCGACATGAAATAACCAAGGGACGCGAAATCTGTTCGGGGAATGAGGCAGGGTGCGAAACGTAAGCGACCAGAACCTGCTCATCGCCTTCTGGCAGCCGGGGACGTAGCAGCCCAACAACGGTTAACGAAGACTGACGGAACGACGACGAACATACCACTCAGCAACGGAGTCGCTACCCGTTCTGAACGGAGGAGGCAGACAGCGCGATGCCATTATGCATCAGAAAAGGCTCCACGACAACCACACCGTTAGTGGGAGCTTACAGTCGGAAACTGGAATAAGGAACAATTGAACAACAGAAAAAACAAGAGTTAGCTGATGAGGCCATAAAGTACCAACTCTACAATATTGGACTCTCGAAGAGCCAAGGCTCTGGAATCCTGAACCTCTGCGGACAGAAGATACTTTACACAGGAGTCGACATCACGACAGGCGCTAAGGCGGGTGTTTCTTGTCTTCGTAAAACTCAACCTGGCCGACAAAATCATTTAATAGAAGCCTTCAGTGGAAGATGCTAGAAAGGAGGTACTGTGGAATAACTGACTACAAGATACAAGGGCTGTGTGGTGTGTGGCATCCGTCTCGGTCGAAGTACCATTGATCATATATTCGCCGTACGCCAGATTGTTGAGAAATCGTGGGAATTCTTCATGCGGTGTACATGTGCTTCATTGAACTAGAGAAAGCCAATGGCCGGATTCCACAAAACAGCCTATGGGTATGTCTGCGAACATATGAAATCGACAGCGAGTTGGCACGGGCGATCCATTCACTGGTAGCAGGTGTTGCGTGAAAGTAAATCGCGTTAATTTGAAGCCTTGTATCGTTGGCACTGGTCTCCGCCAAGGCTGCGTTCTGTCTCCTCTCCGATTTGTGTTGTACACGGACAGAATAGTCAGGCGCAGTCAAGGCGATCAGTGTACCGCTGTAGGAGGTGTATAGACGAGAAGGTTACAGTCTGCAGACGATCCTGTTTTATTTGCATCTTGTGAAACTGATCTACAATGCTCACTAGAAAGGCTCGTCACCGAGAGCACGTGAGCGGCATACGTGTGAAACACGAAAAGCATAGTGCTTTCTCGTTCTCCTTCGCGTCGCTATCTTCAAATTAACGGAGAAGCAGCGGAGGAGGTGGATAGTTTAAAGTAACTCATAATCATATTTACTGGTAATAGAAAATTTGGGTAAGAGATCGACTGACGAACTGGAGTAGCCAGTGGCGTTCTAACATTGGCTGAACTAACCCAAAGCATTATGACAAAAGCAGAGCTGAGTCTGAAGGCTAAGTTCTCGCTGTTCAAGTCGAACTTCATGACTATGCTTTGGCAAAGTCGTGAGTCGTGGACGATGACTGAATAATTTCGATCCCGGGTATAAGCGGTGTAAAATGGGCTTTATGAGACGAGTCCCTGACTCTGCGCATCTCGATATGGTCTGGAATACACTCATTTGGGAGAGCCTTGGTATACAGCCGCTGCTTTTTAAGATTAAGAAGTGGGAGCTGCGATGGTTCAGGCATGTGTTACGAACGCCTCTAGAAAGGAAGGCGTAGCAGCTATTTCCTGCTTATCGGACCGGTAGGAAGCCAAAGGGCGGCCAAGATCAACCTGGTCAAATATATAGAAGAGTCTGATCCAGACTGCAGCTGTCTTCTGAGAAAGCTCAGACTCGAGCAGAGCACTGGGAACGTTGGAAGCAGTGTCTTACGCGTCTGCCTCCGCGAGCCGAAAGGAGAAACAGTTCCAGGAGGTGATGATGATGAACTGTAATGTAGTATGTGGGCTATAATGCCTGGTGTTGAGTTCCATTAAAATAGGGCGGCGCCTCCAACGGACGGGACTATTTGTCGCGATCTGCAACGTTTCGGGCGAAGTCGGTGAAACATATTAAAAGCTGAACTCTTCGCAACAGGTATGTTCTTTGTCGAAACGGTTAAAGTTTAAAGTAATCTGAGGACTTTCTTTCTTTTCTGTATATCAGACATCATCAATCTGGGATAGACGGAGTTCTTAATATACTGCTCTTCAGATACGGATAACAAATTGAAACTGAAGCTTGGCTTGAGATGTTGACTTTTTCTGTTGCCGTAAAACAACTAAAGATGCAATCGTTATATCACAGATCAGTAATCCAATCTGATCTTAAAATTACTCTGTAGCTTTCTGACTCTATGAACGCTTCACTAAATACGTTAAACAATGTAGATGACAACGGACTGCCATGAAACACTGGGAATAAACCAATCGCAAGACCGTAACTGTGTACAGTGCAGTTTTGATCGTGCAACGACGCTGTTGCACGGACGAAGTGTAGCGGAAAGGTGGAAAAGGCAGCAGATAAGTTTTTTTAAATTTCAAGATTAGTTAGAGTTACACCATTTAAAATTTAAAAGTATTGTAGTTTATTTTCTAAATGCTCCTAATTCAGTGCTTTACAACAGCAAAATGCGACCCTTCCTTTGCAAAAGCTGACAATTCGTCTATCAGAATAATTTCAAATGTTCGTCTGTTCATCACTATACAAGCGATTAGGCATGAAAGATATTTTAACTGCCACCTAATTTACGTTCTTTAGCACATTGCAGATCACTATCGCTCATTCAAAAGAGAATCAGCCTCACAGTTGAAATGTAACGGGTTGAATCCTAGTCAGGTCAGCCCCCTTTCAAACTTCCAGCAAATGTCAACATATAGGAAAGAAGCAAGAGACTATATATTATATTCACAATCTCGCTGAAGATACTGCTTTCAAAGAAACAAGGTATTTCTAACTAATGGCATCGAAACAGACATCAACCCCGCAGGATAAGTTTCAAGGAGGGATGACACAAAAACGACACCCAGCATGAAATTGTAAAGCAGAACGACATCACAATGACCTCATACTATCCATTTTAAATTTTTTTCAAACGGTATGATCGGGCGCTCCACTTCTGTTTTAACAGACTCTAAAGCTTTACCCCAAAAA